GGTTTAAGCTCGCTTCAATTATTCCGCCAGTCAATTGCAAGATGGATCACCATATTACTGGAAATCCTTCCATCGCTAGCTTCAATAAATATCTTCAACTCGAAGCGTGTACGCAGAATTTGTAAGTCGGTCTGATCGAAGTGAAAGCAATCTTGTTGTTTCCATGGGCACATCAATTAGGGTGGGCGTATGGACTCGTGGCGGAATGCAGAAACGAGAGGAAGGGGTGGCTTCACAAGTGAATAGATTGCTGGCATTTGTCAATAAGGCTCAGCACGTAGCATACACACCATTCAATTAAACGGCTTGATACTGCACGTAGATTTTCGTACTGCGGTTGATGCTTTGATGCGTACCGCTACCATTCTCCGTTGCATTCTTCTGCGCGCGCCTACTCAGGGAGCATTGTCTTCTATCTCTAAGCAGAAGTAGAGCAGCAATGCCGCCCCAAGTTGACTATGCAGATAGCAGAGGGGAGGGGAGCTGACAAGCACGCATATGTAGTTTCGCGTCACCCGAGGATACCGCTCAACCGTAGCTTTTTGTACGCACTTTTGTACCACCGTACTTGAGTGCGCGGCAGCAAATTTAGTCGTTGCCAAAAAAAGGCTCTATTGAGTCGTCTCTAGGCCTCTAATAGGTACATCGTATGCGTGAAGAGCAGTGATACAACACGCTATGTGTGTTTGCATTATTCGAGCTCCGAGTTATGGCAACGCACAAACAAGCTGAAGGCAAATATCAGTTTTGTAAGCACATTGTATTGATTATTGGTACAAGTTTTTTTTTCCTTCATATTGTAATGCTGACTCACGCCTCTACCTCGTTCCATTGTTACGACACAAAGTTTTGCTAAGAGCTAGAGACAGAAAAAGCTTTCTGAGTTAATCGTGAATGCGTTTAGCGGGGCATATTGACAGCGTTCGTTTTTTGAAGCTTTAGAATTTGATAGCCGTACATAGAAAGTGAGCTTCTCTATAGGCGCCTTGCTTCTTAAACATTATATTACCGACAAGACAATGTTTAGGGCACAACAATGTACCAAACAACATCAACGAGTATAGCTTTTATTCCCAATGGTAACAGATACTCAGATCTACAACGTAAGAACAAGCAGTTCAGTAGAATCAACCGTTACCGAACAGGTTATAATTACGTTTTTTGTTTATTTTTCTATTCTTTCTTCATCAGACTAGAAGAAATCTCGACATTAGCGTCACTCGCTATGAAGTCTCATTATAACGGCCTACAAAGCGACATTTTGATTTACTTGGTGTTTTACTCATAATTAAAAATATCGGGTAGCCATAGCCGCTGTTACTGGCGCGCGACGCAACTAGCTTGTTTGCTGCCCTTACATCTGATAGGGAAACTGTCGTCCTCTTGGCTTTCTTCCTGCTGTGTTTTCATTTTACTTGTTGCATTTTAGCACGTTCAGAATCACTTTGGCCGGATAGGACAATGGTGCAACGCGTTCTTGTAGATACAGCACCATACTATATATTACCCAGCTATCTGATGGAACTGATCTGAATCTGTTTTTGATCGTACGAAGTTTATTGGTTAACGATTTCCCACGTCCTAATTGCGACTATCACGACGTACCATTACTATTCAATTAAACTGCGTCAAAGCTATTTTCTTTTGTGCAAACGCGAGCACTCGTCCGCATCATACCTCGGCTACTCTTTACCCAGAATCAATTCTGAAACTTCTCCACCGTATGCACGCGTATCTCGTTGCTGATTTCCTTTTCCGTTTCTTACTCCTTTTCCCTTCCTACCCTAAGGTTCGTTGGCTTCGAGTGGGAGGTAACAGGGTCGGTAGATATGCGAACGTCCGCAAAATGAATACGCAAATTGTCTCCTTCTGGAACATTTAGTTCCTAGCGACGAACAGTTACAATTTAGAGTGTCGTGTCTTTCTTTCCGATTGGCGTCGATATTTCAGCCGACATACGACAACCTACCATGAGCACAATCACAAGAACCACTTGTATGACTAAACGCACTTCTATCGTTTTGTGACTGGTTACTATTTCCATAAAATGCATTTGTTTGATCAACATGTTCATATTTTAGTATTTGTCACATATAGGTTACCTAAGAGTCACATCCCTACCAGCGATAGCATCATTCTTGCCCCGATACCTTCGTGTTTCTGTTTGTCCTAATTACTGTTTCGCATGAATAACGTACTTGTCCCAGAATCGACTCAACTGCTACCTTGCACACTGATATATAATACATTTTTACCAATGATTGACACTTAGAGCGTCGGTACAAATGTTAAGTGTTACTAATATTTTTGCAGCTCTGCAAAACCGCTGCTGATCTTGTCACTCACAGTGCGATAACGTCGAGACGCGTCAATAAATATAGCGGTGCTGCGTACTGCGTACGATAGTGTAGCATCTAGAGAAAATGTCGCCAGATAAGCCCTCCTCATACACGTTCCAAATTCATCTCAAATGGTAACCGATAACCATTAAGCAATTTGTTCGCGATGGCAAACTCAAATAGATAACGACAAAAATACTTTTTATCGTCTTCTTTCAAATTCCAAAACGTCTATTCATGAACAAATTTAGTTTACTGCCAGGTGCTGCCATCCGTGGCAATTTATTTACTTTAGTTCGGACTGATGTTTCGCGGCGGTTTTTGGAGGCTCCTTCCAGGCTCCAGGCAAAACGTTCAGTCATAGTGCTCAGACGGGACAGAACAATGTGCCGCCGAACGTTGATGGCCGAGTAGAACAGATACAAGTGGTCGAAGAGCACCGTTAACGGTACAAGAAAAGATAGATCCGGAACAGATGGTTAGATAGAGAGGCCCAGAGAAAAGCAATTACCTTTACTTCTCCTCACTACTATCGCGTACACCAGAAGTGCTGCTCTTCAGCACCGTACCGTTCACGGGACAAGCCCACTGTAGCGTGTACTCAACATAGGATGGAATATGCCCCAAACAAGCGGTCGTGCAATACCGCTCATCGTAGACGCAGTAGTTGGATCGGCGGCAGAAATCGCTAGAGTTACCCAATAGAACCTGCAGCAGAAGCAGTTGCAGACGTGAAAGCTAACAAATCCCCTTTCCTTAAAATTCCTTCGGATTACATCCTAAGGTAGGAAACACCGCCGCATCCATGGACCGGCATATTTATAATCGAAGGACACAGCTGACCCCAGATGCCCAGCCAGCCAAAACAGCTATACAACGTATTTGCTGATGAGCCCAACGTCTGTAGCAATTTGCATTTCACCTTGTCTATTACGCTGGGAGATTTTAAAAGGTATACACTGTTGTATGAATTTTTTACAAACGAACGTAGCTTCGTAACCCCAGTGAGCATAAACAGGTTGCTGAAAAAGGATGTCTCGAGAGTATATGGGATACATTTATTCTTTAAGCAAACTACCATTGGAATTAAGGCCCTAATCATTGTTTTAGTCATTGAGCTAAAGTTATTGTGCAATTTAATTTTGTCCATAGATTTACCGAATTGAAGCAAGTTTAAAGAACCAGCGTTCTTCTACTTTATTAAATAACTTTTCTCATTTACACAGGTTGTATTGTATATGTCGTTGACGAGATTCTCATTTTATAACTAATTCATTATGGTCTTTGGGCAAAGTGACATTTTTCCGCAGGAAATCCTCCTGACCAGCTGAGTTCCACGGCGCTCATTAAGCTACAAGCGCCTAGTATTGAAACCTTTGCAAGGGCTTTCTAGTACATCTGATATTCATTGTTAGGCCCTTGTAAGTCAAAACGGCCTACAATTGTCGTTTATGCATGCGGAGCGCATCTGATGACTCATGTATGCACTAGCCTTTATTTCATTCTAAGTAGACCTTCTGTCATCCGGTCTGTTTGTCTTTCGTTTTCTCTCTCTCAGCAGCCCGACTCATGTCGAGCTGAGCAAAGAAACTGTGCGCGTTTGTCTCGTTTTAGAGGATCCGATAAACGGAACGCGCTCCGATATCCAATGTCTTGAAGATGCTTAGCCAAGGGCACACGGATGGAAGGCGTATGTAAGTAGCATTGCGAAAAGTCGCGCTGGCACATATACGTATACGATTCATAGAGAGTTATTCCCATTCTCCACACCGCTTTTCTCACGACTCAGCTTATAGCAAGTCTGTGCTCTTTTCATTGAAAATATCTCTGCTGTGGCACCGATATTGCGCAGAAAAATCCGGAGTACGCTCTGGCTGTTGCTATATCGACAGTTCACAAAGAAAGGATATTCGATTGACAGGTCCGTAGACCAAAGGCAAGTTCTAAGGGGAGTTCGTAGATTGAAGAATTGTAAAAGAGGTCTAGCAAACCCTTTTCCTCCCCAGGCGTTGGACAGTCACAGAAGCGCTGCGAAAGCTTGCAGAAAATTGCAGCGCCAGGGGTAAGCACAAAGAGTAACCTAGAATAGACTGCTGGTGATGAGCCAAGCGGAAAGAATACAGTGTACTCCGCTACGAGTTAGTTCTGTTTTTGCACGAAGCTTCTCGATCGTCCTATCAATTGCAATTCAATGTGACTATACCGGCAGCAGTGTACATTGGCGAGCCATGTTAGCCCCTACAGCAAACATGCTTTTTTCTGGAGACCTCACGCTGCTCAATTTTTGTCAACGGAAACAAAGACTATTGGGAAATGACGTCCATCTAATGCTGTCGCTCTAGGCCATGCGGTGTCAATTGATCTCGGCTGAAGATCGCAAGCACCGATGCTTCGATGAACGAACAGTGTGAAGAAAGTAAAAGCGGCCTCGCAGATGAAAAACGATGTAGATAAAGATGATACTGAAGCAGTAACAACTTCTTCATTTTTAGAGAAATTATTCCTATGAAACTTATTTCTGTGAAGCGTAATATTATCGGACGAAAAGCCTGGAGTCGAATTAGCAATGTAAATGGGGCTATGTAAAATCGCGATTTTTTCTATTTTCCGGTAACGTGCGCATTATGGACATCCGCCAAAGAACCCAGAGAGCTTATATTAACTATTCATACACATAGGCGACGATTACCCTATAGAACGGTTGCTGGCAATTCAGAGTGTAAAACCTTTTTAATAACGAATCTAATTATTGAGAACGTGTGTCGGAATTTCAGCTTCGTGGCAAGAACGGTTGATCGTCTATTCACAGACTTCTGATTCACTTTTTTATGATTTTATCGCGCTTTAAAAAAAAAGTGCAGTATATTTTCTTTCCGCCCTAGGACTCTGAATAAGTAACCGCACAGCGAGAGTTTTTCTCGTGTCCTTGTACCGCGATTTTGAAAACTGCTAAAATGATACGAAAACTAAAGGCCTGCAATTAATCGATAAATATAATATATCGCCATATCAAATATAGTACATGACAGGTGAAGTTCTACCGCACAAATTGTAAGGTATGCTTTTCGCTTAATAAAGGTGTTTTTAAATTTGACGAAGAGGAAGCCCAAGTAGCGTACTAATTGAATCACGATCTAGACGGCTATTTGTCGATTACGACATAACGTAAAATCCTGTTTTATGTGACAGAAGTTTCAGGAATCTGATCTGGTCGACTAACGGAACGACTCGATCTTTCACAAAAGGCCTTGGCAACAGTTTAGAAGTGAAATTGTACGTTCCGCCTCATGAATGACGTGTTTTGTAGCCGGGAAGTAACAAACGATAACGTTGGTACACAGAATTCCTAGAAGTATATTTGATTCACTGTTAGATCATTCGTCAAATATCACACTTTGCATATATATTATCTCAGATACAAAGTTATTTGTCGTTCTAGAAAGGTAAGTGCAACGTCTCTAAAGCACGGGGGTGTACATGCATGTACACAGCTCCGACAATAATCACAAGGCGTAATGGCAGCAATCGTAACGCTACAATAAATGATACACAGTATATATATGTTTGTTCTCTTTCAGCGCCACTACCCACCTAAAGTTTTGGCCTTTTTGTCCCTGACGGCATGGTGCAGCTATATGCCACATATGCCACAAACCAGCCAATGAAGCCCAATAAACATCGAAATTCGTCATCTCAACAAATCAAAATGACGGCTATATTGACTAGCTGTTTTTTTTTCTTTACGTTACATGAAGGAAATGACACAAATAACAACGTACGTTCCAGTCAGTATTCTTTTTGTTTACAAAAATTGTAACATGCTTACTTGAGCTAAGTCTAGAGACTAGACGACAATTTATCATGTAATAACAGTACAATGAATGCGTCCTTTGCAAAGACATACGTCTAACAGCATATGAGAATTGACATAGACCCATTTTTTAAATCACGCTTTTGTATAATGAATCGAATGTGAATTTGTCCTTTAATTTTAACACTTTACAAATAAAAATGCGTCTGCTATATCTTAAACAATGCAGCCAAACTAGCTAATGGAGATATGCGTTTTTCGAGAGTAGATAAGAAAGCGTCGTCTCTAAACAAATCTCCGCTTTATTAAAAAAATACTACGGCAGAGGTAACACCTAACTGGTAACAAACCCGTAAATATAATAAGCAAAAAACTGTAATATCTTTCGAGCAATTCAAATGTATTTTCCCACGCAGTAAACGCCGTTCTGACGCGTGCTTGACAGACTTCCTTCCTCCGTCGGATGCTAATTATAATGACAGGCTTTAAAATGGGCTATGGCAGCTTCTTGTATTCCTGTTCGGTGTTCTGAGCCATGGCATTCGTCTAGGTTCGATTGCGTTTACGAACGTTATTGGCGCTGTGGACTTTACGGCCAGCGACTTGCATTGCGGAGGCGTCAATGAGAAATCTATCTATACCGTGCAGAACTCCATCGATGAAGAGCGTGTCGGCGTGTACAACACTCGCTCCATTTACAGACGTCGTTTGGCCGCCGTCTTCGTTTCGCACCTGGAGCGGGTCGCGGTTCTCAGTTGAGTAGAAATAGGTCATGTTAGGCGACATCGTCTGGAGGGGTATCTCGTCATGAACAATGTGTCCTCGAACAAACTGAGCGAAATGATTAGAACCGAAATAACAAAAAAAAGAGGAGGTACGGACTTGAGTTAAAGACAAGTGTTGTATCGTATCTACTTGGTTGACTAAACGTATCAGAACGATATGTTTAATCAAGCAAGCAAGCAAGCAGGTGACGATGACGTGAACTGTGTGACATAGCATAATAACTGAGCGTACTTCGTAATTGGGGAGAGTTGATATAGGTAAAAAAAGGGTTATTGAAATAATAACAAGTGTATGAGACCGAATTCAGATAGAAGGCTCATCGTCCGGTGGGTGACAACAACACCGCCGGCGATAACTGCATAAGAAATGTTATTAATCCGTCTATAGAGATACTATTTACTTAAAAAAGTGTATATTTTTTACTAACATGCTCGATTTTTTGTGCCGTGTTGAGAACTTCGTTTACATTCCAACTTTCAAATGCTTCGTCCTCTGGGGCAAAGATGGTGACGCTGCTGGCTGTAGTATTGCTCGATCCAAGGTTCTCGAGCTCTTCCATGACTCCACGCGAACGGCGGATCAGCTTGACGAACTGCCTAATTTCTCACACATTTTTTGTTACTTTCATTGACAATAAATACAACAGACTCCTTAAATGCGCCATGAACCATATGTAGATTTATCTTAGACTCTCCAGTACCTGTTGAGACCTTCTCACAAACCGGCGCTATCTGGTACTGGCATTCGGGACGTTAGTACAGTCATACGAAGCACCCTTTCAACCTAAATTAGTTGTCTTTAAAATAAACCCATTACAATGATTTTTTTCTAAAATGTATCCACACATAACGAAATTCTAGTAACATGTTTCTGATACTGACGGTAGTAGCTTATTGTTAGGAATATTATTTTAGAGGAATAAACGCGGGGGAAGGGGGGGGGGTCATCAGATTTGCATAACAGCCAGCTTAAGTTAAAGCTTAAGAACAGCATCGTTAAACGATGTAATTCCATCAACTTACCGATTAATTGTATTATCTGCCTCGTCGCGAGTGATCCAATCTCTAAAATGTATGCGTCGAGGCGTGAGTACTCGATCAATAATATGGAGCACTCCGTTCGAGCCCCTTATGTCTGATTCAACGAGTTTAGCGAGATCTACGCCGTACCACTATAATTTAAAGAAATATAACTTTACTTAGCAGATGTTTTGCTTAGTTTGTCGATAATTGCTCGTAGTATTATATACTTCTTATAAGCGAAACAAAAAACCCTCGAATTTTCCGCTTTATACTTCTTGCCGTGCTTTTCTTAGGTACTTTATATGAAAAGTCAAGCTTATTTTGACAATGTTGGTTATATTATGGCATGGTTTTAGTCAAATCTTTAAATTAAGGATAAGTAACCTCCAAATAATAACCATACCTTTCTTGCGACCTTCATTCTGATAGTGGAGGACCGCTTGAATGAGTAAAGAGCTTTTCCGTCAATAAACTGGGCCGTAGTGATCTTCTGACCATAGACGAAATGATTATAAATGAATTCACGTAGCGCCAATTGGTACAGTTGATCGTCATAATATGCCCCATGCTGCCGAGCCCAGCTATTGGTGAACAAAAAATAACTGTATGTATATCTGAATCACAAGAACGGTTCTCGCAACCCAGTTCGTTTCCACAATGTTTATATTTTATTTTAGCTTAAATTAATGTACGAGGTGATATAATTAATAATTCTGACTGATTGGCAAAGCACTCGAGACTCCTTGACCAAAACCATCTATCAACAGCAAAAAAAACTAACGCATAAATAGATTTTAAGCAAAATATTTATCCAAAACATGTACTATACCACACTTGGATTTGAAATTGCTGAAATTTTGGTAAGCTTTCCTGGTTTCTTCCAATGAGAGGTGATTGTATATTTGAAATGTCTTAGTTTGTTGATAAGCTCCACATTTTTTGGAAAAATGGAACACTTGCTGTAATTTGTATACTATTTATTAAACTGAACATCAGTAGCTAGTCTAACAGGCGATACTCGTGTCCAGCATGTGTTGCTTGCGTGCTCAATTTTACAAATGCTTTAAGGTCTACGCCTGGTACTGCCATCAAGCGTTGCCTCAAAAGACAGCTTTCAGCTGGAAACGAAGACGATATATGTTATATTCCAAAGCTGAATTACTTCATGTATCCGAAGTTGAAATTGTAATCGCTGCTATGGGGACCACATGTTTAATCTAAAGCCATATTTTTTGTCTGAGACGCACATGATGCAGACATAAAGGGGAATTCTTAAATCTATTTTGATCATATTTCATCACAAAGTGTCCGTCGACGGAATCAAAGAGTCTGTACCCCCATGTTCTGTTATCCTACTCCCGTGCCTATTTATCGCGGCTGCGCCCTCCCGCAGCACTCTCGCTGCTACTCGCTTAGTAACGGGATAAATAGAGATCAATCAAGAAGCTCAAATTTTTTTCTGTAAACTTAATAACGAAGGGAAGGAACGTGTGGTGCAGATAGCAAACATACAGCAACGTAGTAGGACCAAATAGTAGGACTACAGGTTCTTGGCCTGTGAGTGGAGGCACTGCAAGATGACATTTTCTTACTTTCAGTTTATCTGAAAAGTAAGTCTGTTTTTACAAAAATTACAAGGCCAGCTTCAAAAATCCCGTAAAAACAGCCATGGTAACGAAAAATTCTTAGGCTCTTCTAATAAGCTGGGTCCAGTAAATAATGGTATAATAGTAACAACGCTCAAGGTAAACTGAACTCTAATCCTAGTGGAAATGTTTATGTTAGTCTAGATAGCAAATATTTTCCAACGTTAGCGATAATAATAATAATAATAATTTTGTGTGTAGCTTCTAAAAGTATGAATTTTAGAAAAAGCTTTTTTGTTGACCGTCCAAATCGACGATAGTCACATACCTCCGGATAGCATCGTTGTTGGGCGCAAATACAGTTATAGTAGAATCGCTGAAGTAGTGTTCAAGACCGTGGCGGCGAACAGCGTCAGTGAATAGAGAAAGATCGCGACGAACCATCAAATCCCACACGGTTCGAACTATATTTAAAAGCGTCCATCATGCGTTAGTGCTCGTAACGTCTATTTTGATAGGCACCAATATATCACAGGTAGGAAAATGTCCATATGAAACGCATTGATGCTCACATTTTTCATAAATTTTCTATTTCATCGATAAATCGTACGTGAGTTATTATATTTTAAGACATTTTACACGTTTGCTTCTTAAACAATTACACAACTGGTATCTTATTGTTGAAGCAATGTCTTACTGCATTTAAGAAAGTATAAAGTATTTTTTTTTACCAAAATACGCTGTTTTGTTTGTAGAATTCGTTTTGAATTAGTAGCGTAGGCTTTGTCGAGCTAAGGACCCTTTGCGGTGGAGTGCTTCAAAAAATGCCAATATCCATAAAGATCATCGCCGCAAAACCTTAGACAATGTAGGTTTTTGCATTAGGAACTTATCGATATGTAATTCTCGATAACTTCTGCAGGAAATGAGGAGGAGATTATTTCAAAGGATAGAGTCTAGAAATGCAACCATGGCTAATAAAGTAAAATGAAGTACCATTGCGTTCGGAAGTGCAAACTATAAGAGGGACAGCAGTATGAGAAATAATTCTATAGTATTATCACAAATAATTCCACAGGGAATTGTATATATAGGATTTAAAAAGTCCTTTATCTTCGCCCATTTACTAGCCTGCGGTGCCTTGAAACTATCATTTCTGGAATTAGCTTAAGCACTCCTACTGAAGTCGTACGGCACACAGCCTTAACCATTCAGGAACACTCCGTATCTATCCTTCAAGCACAGTTACCATATTAATGGCATCTTTCGTTTTATAAGACACACCTCTCTCTTTGCTATGTAGCTTCTAGCGACTTGATCTTTCACCACGACCTTCGCCCTTTGCCCGAAATCGAATAATCTGTATTCTGCGCACTTGCTTGCGTTGTTTTATTTTTTTTTGTATCGTTATATGGGCAGATAAAAAGCATAAAGGTCGAATTTTAAAGTGAATCGATAGCTGAGTTTTTTTCGTCTAGTGTTTTCTGCTTTTAATCAGTTAGGACAAGAGTCGTGACCAAATGAAGTGTATGCATACATGGTCAATAGACATACTGTATTTCTGAGGCGGTGGTGTCTCGGAACGTCTAAAAATGTTGTGACCATAAGGTACGAAGTACAATTGTACCTTTTAATTTAATTTCTCAAACTACGTTAGCTCTAACAGGTTCGCCTTTTACACACCTCTTTTTTTATGGCAGAATACCTAAATTATATTCGTCCCTCAAAAAACCTACTTGTCCAATTCACAGTGACATAGCGCTGATCTCGGACATTGTTTTTAAAATAAAAAAATATGAGAGACTCGTAACATATTCGATGCAAAAAAATACAAATACAAAATTCGTTGCACCTACATTTAGTATACTACGATCAGAGATATCACTCATATTTACCCGGATCTGGAACGATGACCTTGCTTACGACGGAAATGAAACCGTTGTTGGCAAAACGATAATCCTGAAGAAAGCGTGTCTGATGATCGTTTACCGACACACCTTGTCGGTCGCAACTAATTGTGATCCTGGTTCCGCCGACAGTGCGCACTCGGTGTTTTTCGATTATGGCAGGTGCACACATTGGGTGGAGCACCAGATGAAGTTGGAGAAATTCTATTAGATCAAAGCGATGACAAGACCCAAGAATGACAAGATCAGCGAACCCTTTGGAAGTTCAAAATTTTTAAGTACCTACCTTAAAAGGGCGCTTATGTGTGTATAGGTAAAGCTGAACAAAGCTTAGGTTTTTCAGCATTGTGCGCAATATCCTTGTCTGCGGATCAGCAGTCTTTTTTGGAATTCCTTACAATGATGTGGCCTAAGACCTAGACACATCGCAGCTCTGAACCTGATATACCACGATGGAATCATCAGTTACGGCTACTATTAGTAATCATAATAGAAACTGAACTGTGTTAAAAAACGTACGCTTGGCAAGGGTATAATCATGCTGAATTCTGATGAGCTTAGAAGGGTCCATAGCTTGGAAAGCCTCATTTGTAGGAGCCATCAGCATTAGAGTGGCACGCGGATCGCGGAGGAGATCGACCAATTCAGGCACTTTCGACAATAATTGGTATAGCTCGCTGAACCGATGGTCGGCGCTGAGAACACTTAGCAACGTGGCGTCACTTGAGGCTAACGGATTAAGTACGGCGCCGATAACGTGCACCACGCCGTTCGTGGCTCGATGATCTTTGCGTGTGATTAAGTGACAATTGACCGTGTCCACCTAAGTAAATACAACACATGCTATTGGTCATGGATATGAAAAGTGATACGGATAATCATTTTCCCACCCTTTTCGTTCTATGTCTGCATGGGAAGATATTGAGATAGTTTAGAGGAACTGTTCCACACTCTGCAACTTTAGCCAAATTAAAATCGGCTAGGTTTGCTCATACAGGTCATATATATGAAAATGGTGCTCCAAATAGTCTGCTAAGTCCAGATGAAGCGAAAAATGGAGAAAAAAATGCTAGACTATACTGTAGTTACCTTTATAGAATATTATTATCTCATCGATCATTTTAGACCATAAAAATATACGTTTCATAAGTTGCACGATCTTTTTGCATATATTATGGCATTATCTCGTTTAGATAACCCACTGAACTAATTCTGAAGTTCGAGTGAAATTGAACTCTTAGCTTTTACTGTTGCTGATGATCTCAGTGTTACGTCTCACCTGATTCGAAGACCGCAAGATCCGCAGCGGTGTTTGGTATCCATCTAATGATCTGGATGAAGAAGCCGCAAAACCTTACATTTATTGATTAATTCAATAGAGCTTAGCAAGGGAAAGTCTCAGCCAATATGTGCCATTTCCAAATATGTATGATTTTAGTTTTCGTAAAATTTTTTTTTTCTCTGCGCAAAGATTCACCTGCATATTCACTTTAGGGAATATACATTGTTTTAACGCAAAACCTATGTTTTTATTGAATTAGTAAAAATTGAAGTATACTGGCTATCGTAAGTGCTAGTTCATGTCAATCATAATTTTTGTGCCAATAAATACCTCAGAGTGGTATCTCCTTCTGGAAGGTCCTTTATGTGTACTCTGCCAGGTAGAGCGTGGTACAGCAGATTTCGGTGAAGATTACTTTCGAAAACAAGACGCGTTTCAGTACTCATTGTACGAATGGCTTCGTCCGAAGGAACAAACAGAGTTACAGCTCCGTCAGCGGCCGCTTTCATGAGTGTCTCGCGAGCCGTTGGTGCCCGAAGAAAATAGCTAAGGAAATGAAATAATAAAAAAAAATTACATAGAAAAGCAAGATCGTAAACACAGTTAGTGCAATTACATTAGTTCTGATCGTAGTGAACAAAAAGTATTGCCTTTAATTTCTATTTCTCACTGAAGCTTGCTCGCTCGCTCGAGCTGGTAGCTATTATGATATATAATACTATAATAATATTTATGTGTATTTAGGCTAATAGCATTGTGTTCGCGTATGAAGCATATGCAAAGATTTTGTCTTGCTATATACGGCATCCCTCAATACACGCATTAGTCTTTCTAACGTTTCAGTTGAAGGTTCCTATTACTTTGTTAGCTTTGGTACGTACTCAACGAAAAGGCCTGCTCCCATTGAGCGAGCCGTTTTCAAGATGTCCCTCAAAGCGAGAACACCGCTGCAGCCCGTCAATCTGTAGACGGTCGTGTACCCCTCACAACATTCAAAGTGAACTTGTCTGAAATTCGTGCACAAAAAGCCATCCATTAGTTGATTACTTGTGCGTTCGTACCTAGACATGTCTAGTTGATAATTCGCAACGTAATTCCATGGTTGTTTAGCGTCTGTGTAAATTACTATTTTGACTAAACGTAGAGGCATGCTAGTTTGCTACAGAATAATTATTGTCAAACGGTTTGTGTTATTTTCATGATTGGTACGGGGTTATGCAATATGGACCTTAATTCCGTTTTTCTCCTACATAATGCAAATTACATCATTCTCACTCTTAAAATCTCCTGAATACAGGATGCGCTGTATTCTACGGCTTGCTGGTCATCGGACACTAGAAAAATTTTTATTCTTCAAACTCTACTGAAGCTGGGCCCGAATAAACCCATTAAACTCCACTTTTAGCAATTTACGTCATAACTTCTTTTATCCTTGCGACAAAATGCAATAGTTTCTGTAGTAACTAGATGTCCGTACACATGTAACACTTCAGTACAGCTCCTCATCAATTTGCTTAATTAATTTGTAACGTGATTTCAGAGCAGTCTATGTATATATATATATATATATGTATGTATATGAGGGGCGATACTTCGTTCAAAGGTAAGTAGTATGGCACGACACAGTAAAATACGTACGTCTTGAAGCCGCAAACATTCCGACGAAGCCACTGTTCTGAATCTGTATGGAAGGTCCAACTCAGTTCTGGTACGTACTCGACCGCGCACATATTAGGCCTATGGCAGCAAGATAGTATATTCATTAGGATATACATTACATATATTACGTACCCGTAATGTATGCGTAATGTACGCCATTACAATAAATCTAGCAGGTAATTTTACTAAAAAGCTGGTAAAGGAAAAAGATGGAGAACATTAGACTTGATTTAACAAAAACGGTTCTTTATGATCAGAAAACATGAGAATTCTGGTAAAATACGTCTATCTATAGACAAAAATGATAAGCACGTACCTTGCATATTTACCTTGATTATATATATATGTATATATACGAAAAATTGAAGACCTACAGGACAAGTTACTAAATTGCCCCAGGTTACTCTTTAGATCTCCTGAGGAAAAGGTTGAAAGTACTGCACAATTATGAAGCGATTTTCATAGAAATAAAAATCTACCATCGAAAGTGGTGCTGGGGAAAGAAAATATAATACCAGCTGTCGGATGTGTGAGACCGCAGTTATGCAGTAAAATATCATAAGGTCTAACATAACAATGAACTTACCCCACTATTTGATGATGTTGGAAGAGGAATTGTAATGGATGTTGGTCACCGTAATGTGCTTGTTTGATCAACTTTCGGCGGACTGCTTGCGCCGGACCCAACAAAATCATCACTGCAGCAGTGGCCAACACTACAAACTTCCTCATCCTCACTTAATTGCTCAAACAATTTCCAATACTAAATATTCTACGTTATTTCACACAGGTAGTTTTAGAGAGGGGTGATTCTGTTTCGATAAAACGATCGCAATATTTCTCGTCAACTCATGTACCCTGTCACTTATAAAGCTGTTTCTATTTATGCAGATAGACCATGTTGACTGAATAATTAGCCCTACGGTGATACATCGACCTTCTCTACGGTCGATCGAAGCGACAATTCGTTTTTAATGATGTTCATCATCAATGCCCTTCCCTCTTGCGTAGAAGTAGATTGCAGACCAATAGATGCTTCATTTCGATCATCTTTTTTTTTACTGTCTGAAACCATCTCGTACGTACATCGCCTTGTTTTTATATGTTTTCGCTTGAAACTTTCATTCATTTCAATTAGTACAACTTCTAGTCGGACACAGTCGTAATAGAGGGCATGTCACTAAGCAGCTTAAATGCAACATTAGAATTAAAGTCAATAACGACTGCTGCTAATGGAGATTATTATAGAACTTCTCCATTATTTCAGACCTATGAGAACTAATAGAGAATTCGTTGTAGGAGAATGCTTAGTTGCTGTACTTTCTTCTCATGATTGTGAAAATGCTCAAAATAAAGAGACCAAAATTAGGTAACTTCAATTACATTAAGTTATCGAAAAAGTGCTGACGATTTTGTTAGTTGGATGACTTTATTAAAAAAAAAAAAAGACAATCCACCGAAAGTAGCGAATAGAACGGGCATTGTAATCTGCCATCATAATGCCAGATCACCTATATCTTTAAGTGCTCGGTAGCAACTGAGAGAATATCAATTTAAAAATATTTATTTCCACAGTGATGGGATTATGATGTTAGCCATCAATCAGAAATAAAGCATATTTAGCTTAGTAATATTGTTTTAGAATATAAAAAGATAATTGCTTTAATTTTAACTCTAAAACGGTCAATATTTACATATATATATATGGTATCGAAATTGCGACGACCGCCGTAATGGGCATTTATAGTACTAGAAGAAGGCATGTTCTTTCTAAAGCAACTTCAAATAACAAACTCATCATGATGGAAGACATTACGTCGTTTCGGTTACTGGGGGCTTTCATTCAATATCTTCATACTGGACGAACCGCTACCAAAACCAAAAGCTTTTTTTGCCCAAAATCGAAAGCTTGCACCATTGTCAGTCTTCGTGCGACTTCTGAAAGGCATAAGGAAAATTTTCGTGAAACAAACCGAACGATCCTTTGCAAGGGCTCAAAAGTTCATTAAAATGGCCCAGACGGCCATTTTTGATACACCTGGACTTTCGAAGTAGAAAACAATGGCCGGATAAGGTTAACACTTTTCGCGCCTTTGGACTTTTTGGCCGCTTTGAAGATTTTTGGAACGCAGCCCAAAATCTAATTCCGCTAGAATTTGTTTGTATGAAGTGTATTTGGATGGAACTTTAATAAGTTTATACGTGCCAACATTGCTTGAGGCAAGATTCGTGCTGAAAAGCCACTTGCTGATTAAATATATTTTGAGAACGATTACTAAATTATTTAAGTTTCGCATTGTTAACTGTAATTGCAGCGAATAGTTATATTAAACAAGTTTTATCTTCAGTGACGACACTTCTAGCCCATAGAAGGCATTTCGTTGAATCATTTATAATGGATATGGTCTAAGAAAAAACCTCAATTCGAGCGTATATATATATAAGAGGAAATGGGGCTATACGTACCAACACAGAAACAATCTGTCCTACAAGAAAGGAAAAATTGTATCGGTTCATTTGTTAAAGACTTTACTATTATATAGCCAAAATATGCTTACTACAACTTATTTCCGAGAAAATATCAATTTAGGACACCTATGTCCTTAACCTACATAGCTCTACTAGGTGGTGGTCTATTACACATGGACAGAGGTTAGCCTAGGTGAGCTACTGATGATTTCGTACGAAGAGATCAGTACTTCAGTCAAGCTACAAGGAAAACGCTCTCCTTTAGAAACAGAGGTGTAATTCTTGCTATAAAAGACAATCTTTTGCAATTATTTATTGCCGAATTGGGCAGGTTAAGGTTTATCATTTGTTTAGTAATAATAGTTGTCATACAGTTTTGCTACGAATACAAACTACGATGTTTTATGGTAAATTCGCCTTAAACAGAGTTCTACTCTGAAATCAGGCTTGAAGTTCATTCAATTTATCTATAAAATCAGTATCGACGACATCCGATTTCACGAGTGCTTGAGAAGCAGTGTTACACATAGCGCCACCTTTCCCTGGCCCATTTAGCTTCCAGGGCGATCATGCAATACAACTCAATGTGACGGCGTAATCTATTAAATTATATTTAAAAAATTAAGAAAATTAAAATTCGAATTAGAAAAATTTGTATATGTTCATATCGTTCAGCAGAAAATCGATGAAATACAAAACAATATTTAGCTGTCCTATACAACTAACAATTTGAGAAAAAGTAATAAAAAAAATAGTAACTCAACTGGTCATACATTTTTAACCAGTCTACATGGAAATAAAATGGTGATTTGATAATATTCAAGTTTGAAGTCATCGTTTTCTCGCGAGAAAAAAGTGTGGCCTATATAAACCCACCTTTTCGTAAATATATATGTGTGTGGAGCAAGAATTAACCATTCACGAGGGTTTTAAGCATAGCCTTAAAGAGAAAATTCGATTTCTACTGTATTAAGCGAGCTAATGAATTAAGTAAATGACTGTTTCTTTCTAGATAAACGTTCGATGAAACAAGTTATTCTGATAACCATGTTTCAGAAGATAATTTGATATTACAGAATTGAGGAGAAGGCAAAGTACAGTTTTTCCCTTGTATTCTTTTTTTTTTTTTTTTACGTTAATGTTATACGTAGACCAAAAGCAAAAGATAATACCTAAACGCTTCGTGTCTGTTATGCCATCATTAAACTACAAATCCTATGAACCAAACTGATTACATTAAAAGAAAGGAAAACTTTTAATTACCGTGTACTAGTATCGTTTTTAACTTTCGTCATTTTAGCACGAATACAAAACACATCAAGGAAGCGCCTTCACCATCATCATTTATCCCTCAGACGTTTTTCTAGCGTCTAGTAGCGTCGTTTCAATAATCGAGAGGAAAAAATAAAAACGGTTCTGGTATGTCGCCCACACAAAAAGAAACGATTACATCTATTCGTAATAGTTCCTTAGTTGAAGCTGGACAACTGTGTCGTGACCTTAAAAAGTAGCGAATGATATGATGGGACAAAGAGATGGAAAGGCGTCCTCTGGTAAGCTTCTCTCCCGCATGGATACTGCTACTGCTGCTTGGTCTTACACGCACTGGGAATGGCAATAGCTAGAACTAGTTGCATAATTATAACTATAAGGCCGCACGCGGGTTGGGCTCAAAAGACAAAAGGGAATTATTGGACGATATTCATCAGAGAATCGCATGGTGTATTGCTGTGAAGATAATATTCATCTCAGCACGTCAACCGAAATGACAGCACCAAAATGTGCTGCTTCGTCCATTGGGCAATTATATCCGTAAAACCCTATTAGAATGACATTCTATCCATCGTTCTGTGGGGTTGGTCCGAGATAAGATTAACGCCTAAAATAAATGGCCGATGGGTCAGATTCGGAAAGTCGCATATATATATATATTCTCATAGGTATCACCGACTGCTTTAGGAAGTCCTACTCATTTATTTAGACTATTGACAATATTTCTCAATACAGAGCTGCTAGTTTGCCTGCGATTAGGTGAACTCGTGCCCAGCTATAACAGGCCGATAAAAGTGAGTGCCTGTTTCGGAAAACCTGTAGCGTGACATGAGCCAGCCTGGTTGAAATCGAGCCTAAACATTGGGCTGTTCTCGCACGCTCTGTCTCTGAGACCCGGAAGCTTGCTAATTTACTACAGTACCGCCGTGTCTTAAACGCTCCTTTGGAATTATTTATGTCATAATCTCATGGCGTTGCGTCGGAAATAGCTTGAGAAACGTTTCTGCCACGGGGAGCAAGATAGGCACTGCTTTTATCGGCGAGTAGAGTACAGATGTAGAGCAGCCATGCACTTAAGCCAAACTGACAACTGTGAACAAAAAAAAACAAATGAAACATGTTGATTTAATTGAGTCGCGGCACGTAAACAAAAACCATATGGTTGACTTCTAGTGTTTATTCCTCATTATATGGTGTATGTATATATGTCCTTGGCATATGGCCAAGGCTGCAGGTATCTACTACGTCATCCAAATTCGAGTTTGCGCTATTCCCATTGCACTTTGATATAATGAAATGTAGATTATTTACAATGATACTTTATCGATCGGCCATTATCTACGAAGGACAAATGTTTGCATTGCTTTAAGTTACAGAAATGGTTCCTTATGACAAACAACGCCGTCTCAAGCATTTGGATTGTCCTAGTTATGAGCTCCGCGTAGCCACACAGAGTTGGCACGACGATTCTCAAAACAACTCGTTTGATTAAATCTTAAATACTTAGCTCTGTATCATAATATTTACTCCTTTACTAAAATGATTTTTCATCCAAGTGAAACAGCTCCCCCCGTTGCGTACCTTAGCTTTGAACCCAGGAAAACAAGTGTTATTAACCATTTCGGACAATGCTATTTTACATACAAACTACATTTAATTTATTTATTTATAACATGTAACTATTTTTTGTTAGAAACCCACCATTTGGAAAAGTGGACATAGCTATCCCATCACGCTAAACTAAAAAAATAAAGAAGCATCATAAAAAAAATCAAATGAATACACGTCTGCCGGCGAATAACATAACAGACGAAAATTAACAGTAATTATAACCGCTTTTTCCAATCTCCACTCAATAAGTAAATCATCTATTATTGACCGCCTGTCAACGTTGAAATTTCGTGTGTTTGAACGGATTTCGAATGCTGCGGACGTCTGAAGGGGTCGCTGACACAATTTATTTTGCTTGCATCGCAGGGCGAATTGCGGCTAGACAGGAAACAAATAAACCTGTCTAAAATGTTCAGTATTAATTTCACTATTTTCGTACCCACGTTTACTATCAGCGGCAAATTGAATC